CTCGAGGCATCACAATAGACAGTATAAGACCCCGAAACGGTAAGCAATATCAAAACTAAGGCTGTAGTTAAAGCTGTCTTGAGCTTCTGAAAGCTCTCCTCACACTCTTCCGTCCACTGGAATGGAGCACCCTTCTGGGTCAGCCTAGTCATACGTGCTGCAATAGATGAAAACCCCTGAACAAATCGACGGTAATAACCTAGCAAGCCAAGAAAACTGCGGATCTCTGTAGCTGAGGATGGTCTGGGCCAACACTGCACTGCCTTCACTTTCTTCGGATCCACCTGAATACCCTCACTCGAAATAACGTGACCCAAGAATGCCACGGAATCAAACCAAAACTCACATTTTGAGAACTTAGCATATAGTTTCTTCTCTCTCAAAGTCTGAAGCACTGTCCTCAGGTGCTGCTCATGATCTTCCCGACTCCGGGAATATACCAGAATGCCGTCAATAAAGCCAATGACGAATGAATCAAGATATGGCCGTAATACACTGTGCATCAAATGCATGAAGGCTGCTGGGGCATTGGTCAGCCCAAATGATATAACAAGGAACTCGTAATGACCATACCGAGTCCTGAAGGCAGTCTTTGGGATATCTGGCTCCCGAATCTTCAACGGATGATAGCCTGAATGCAAGTCAATCATAGAAAACACACAAGCACCCTGTAACTGATCAAACAGGTCATCAATACGAGGTAAAGGATAACAACTCTTCACTATAACCTTGTTCAACTGGCGATAATCAATACACATACGCATAGAACCATCCTTCTTCTTCACAAATAAGATATGAGCACCCCAAGGTGATACACTGGGCCGAATGAAACCCTTATCAAGTAATTCCTGTAACTGCTCCATCAACTCAGGAGGAGCCATATGATACGGAGGAATAGAAATGGGCTGAGTGCCCGGCAACAGATCAATGCCAAAATCAATATCTCTATCGGGCGGCATGCCCGGAAGGTCAGCTGGAAACATATCAGAGAAATCCCGTACTACTGGGACAGAATCAACTGTAGGGATATCAATACTGACATCTCTCACATAAGCTAGATACGCGTCACACCCATTCTCAACCATTCGCTGAGCCTTAAGGAATGAAATAACTCTACTGGAAGTATGCTCTAAGGTACTCCTCCATTCTACTTGCGGTACACCTGGCATAGCCAGCGTCACGGTTTTCGCATGACAATCAAGAATAGCAAAATGGGGCGACAACCAGTCCATGCCCAGAATAACATCAAAGTCTACCATGATGAGCAATAACAATTCGGCTCTGGTCTCAAAACCACTAAGAGCAATCAAACACGACCGATAAACGCGGTCTACAACAAGAGAATCTCCAACAGGAGTAGAAACATAAACAGGAGAACTCAAAGAATCCCGAGATACACCCAAATACGGGGCAAAATAAGAGGACACATAAGAATAAGTGGAGCCTGGATCGAATAGAACCGATGCATCTCTATGACAGACTAAGTGACAGAATCAGAGGCGACAACCCCAGTACGAGCAGGAAGGGCATAGTATCTGGCCTGGCCTCCCCCTCGAGGGCGACCTCTACCTCCCCGACCTCCACCTCTAGCTGGCTGAGCAGGTGGGGTAGTAACTAGTGTTGTGATCATAGCCTGAGAACTCTGCGGGGCGCGTTGTGGCTAAGAAGTCTGTGGAGGTGCAGCCCTCCCAAGTCTAGGGCAATCCCTCACCACATACGTGTGTCACCATACTCAAAACAAGCTCTGGGAGGACGTGGCGGCTGTGACTGGCTCGGGCCAGGTCTGCTGGACTGACCACTAGAAGCACCCCGTGCAGGAGGCGCACTAGATATTGGAGGTGCATAATAAGGCTCCTGAGGTCTAGGAGGAGCTGGAATACCACTGGCTGCTGGGAGAGCTGAATGAACAGGGCGACTCATATAACCCCTACCATGACGACCTGCAGCTGGGGCACGGGCACTAGAATAATGGCCTGACTCTCGAGACCTCTTGGCCTCCCTCTCCTCTCTATCCCTAGCATGCATACCCTCAATCCTCCTAGCAACACTCACCACCTGCTGATAAGAAATATCCATCTCCAACTCATGAGCCATGCTAGACCTGATACTGGGAATAAGCCCCTTAATAAATCGGCAAACCTTCTCGCGAACAATAGAAACCAAAGTTGGTGCATGTCTTGCCAAGTCGGTAAAACGGGCAGCATACTCCGAGACAATCATAGTACCCCGGCGCAAACGCTCAAACTCTGCGCACCAAGCGTCCCTGAGACTCTAGGGAACATACTCTCTCGTGAACATATCTAAAAACTGAGCCCAAGTCAGGGAAGCTGCCTCATCCGGACTGTCTAACTCATAAGCACGCCACCACTGATAGGCGGCCCCTTGAAGCTGAAAAGTAGTGAAGGAAACCCCGCTTGATCCTGATATACCCATGGTACGGAGGATACGGTAGCACTCCTCTAGAAATCCAAGAGCATTATCTGAGGCTAGTCCGCTGAATGTAGGAGGCTGATACTTTTTGAACCTCTCAAGCCTTTTCTGCTCCTCCTCTGAAGCTAGTGCCCTTTCCTCGGGCTGAGCTGGGGCTAACGGCTGTACAGGAATAATCTCTAGGACCTTATCAACATGCACTCGCTGCTCAGGAGTGCGGGCGGTGGGAGTCTGTGCTCCTCCCCCGGCCTGGGATCTAGCTGCAGTAAGGGGAAGCAACCCTGCCTGAGCTAGAGTAGTGTACATAGTCATAAACTGCGCCAGAGTCTCCTGGAGTGCTGGAGTAGTAATAGCAGACGTATCAGGTGTCTGGACTCTGGCTAGAACTGCTGGTGGCACCTCAGTGGCAGCTCGCGCGGGTGCTCTGGTTGCACCACGAGCGCGTCCTCATTCTCTACCCTGGCCTCGGCCTCTGACGGCTCCAGTAGGGGGTGCGGGTGCCTGATCATCTCGAGTAGCACGTGTCCTCACCATTTATGAGAGAATAGAAGACAGAAGTTTAGAATTGTGATATCGAAAATCTCGCACGATAAGGAAAACGAATGTAGTGGAATTTTCGTAACAGTTACATAGCCTCTCGTAGATAAGTACAGATGACTCTGTACCGATCAGCGAGACTCTAAATAACCGGCTGGTGATTCATGACTCCTATGAACCTAGTGCTCTGATACAAACATGTCACGACCCCAGTTCGCCCTCCGTGAACTGTCGCAACGGCACCTAGTCTCTACAGCTAGGTAAGCCTAACAAATGCGGGAAAAAAAGAAACAATTGCGGAAGAAAGTAATTAAAAACCGACATAACAAGGTTAAACAGTGTTTAAGATGTCGCCTGGCATATAACAGTACAAAATCTCAATCTACCACTCCCGAAAATCCGGAACCCCATGAATCACAAGCTAAAAGATTACATAATAAGCTCTAACTCCAGAATCTCTACCAACAAGGGAAAAATACAGAAAGGGATTTACTAGTACTGAGAATAGAAAGGGACTCTTCAGTCTGCGGACGCGGCAGATATACCTCGGAGTCTCTACAAAGCGCCTCGCCTCAAGCGTTATAAGACTGAGTGGAAGTACCTGGTTCTGCACATGAAAAACATGCGCAGGAAGGGCATGAGTACACCACAGCGGTACTCAATAAGTGTCACACCTAACCTCGGTGGGGTAGTGACGAGGAAGTTCAGGGCCCTACTGAGTTTCAAGTAAATACAAGATATAACTGTGTAGAATAAGACAACATACTAAGTGAAACAGTAAAAAAGTAGCACAGGATAAAAGAACAACAGCTACTTTAACAGAGACATAGAAATCACGGAAATGAATACAGCTCAACGCAGAGATAACAATCGGGGGATCTCTCAGTATCCCGAGGATCTCTTAGTATCCTCAATATGTGTACTGGGGATCTCTCATTATCTTGAGGATCTCTTAGTATCTTCAATATATAGGCTGGGATCTCTCGGTATCCCAAAGATATCTTAGTATCCTCCATATACGTGCTGGGGATCTCTCGGTATCCCGCACTACAGTCCAAATCAATACAGGTGCAGGGGATCTCCCGGAATACGAATCCGTAGTCCCAAAGTAAACAAGCAGGGGGATCTCCCGGGATACCGTCCCGTAGTCCCAAAGTAAACACATAGCAGCAACACGAAGAATACTCAATTCAGTTCTAATTTCATACCAAGGTAAAAACAGGTATTTCTAACCTAGCATGCCACACATAATACAAATAAGGCAGTTTGATCTAATAAGGCAATTAAGACAATTAGACATGTTTTCCTAAGCTAATAGCAGGCTTAAATTACACACGGTATGAACAGGAAAAAGGAAATCACATTTATAGTTACTTAAAGAAAACAGATTTTCAACAATTAGCACAAGTACGCACTCGTCACCTCACGTACAAGGCATTTCAATTATCAACAAACCCAATCCTAAGGGGGAGTTCCCCCACACAAGGTTAGACAAGCCACTTACCTCGAACCGGCTCAAAATCAACCCGAAACCACGTTCTTGCCACGAGTACTCGACTCCAAATGGCCCAAATCTATTCCGTTCAATTGCATAATGTAAATAACACTTCAAGTAACTGATTCTACAAATAAATTCTAAGCTAATACGCGAAATTAGGTAAAATAACCAAAATGCCCTCCGGGCCCACGTCTCGGAATCGGGTAAAATTTACATTTTCAAAATCCTCATACTCTCACGAGTCTAACCATACCAAAATTATCCAAATCCAACGTCAAATTCCTAATCAAAACTCAAAATTTAGGTCTAAGAACTTTCTTCAAATTTTTTCCAATTTTCATCTCAAATCCGAAATTAAACGATAAAACTAACAATAGATAAATGGAATACTACTAGAAAGAGATAAGGAATCGTTACCTACTGATTTTCTCATTAAAAATCTCCCAAAATCGCCCTCTCCCGAGCTCCAAATCAATTTTCTAACTTTTGAAACTAAACCCTCGAAATTCTGATTTTCTGCCCAGTAAATCCGCACCTGCGGTCGAAAACCCGCTTATGCGCTACCGCTTCTGCGGTTGAGGGTACCATTTCGGTGGTTTTCCCTAAGATCTCTATCTCTGCACCTGTGACCCAGATTCCGCATCTGTGATCCCGCAGGTGCGGCAACTCTTCCGCTCCTGCGACCTCTGCTGCCTTCACTTGTGGCCGCATCTGCAGCTCCATGCTCGCTTCTGCGAGTCCGCACCTGCGGTCCCCTAGTCGCAGGTGCGGTTATGACAGCAATGGAAAAGCTTCAGCTGCCAAACCAAATTCCTAACTCTTCCGTTAACCATCTGAAACCATCCCGAGGACCCTGGGACCTCAACCAAAAGCATGAAAGAGTCATATACCACTGAGCAAACTTATACAAATCTTCAAAACACCTCAAACAACATCAAATCAACCAATTAGCATCGAATTCAAGCCTAAGAACCTCAAAACTCTCAAAATACACTTTCGATCAAAAAGTCTATCGAACCTCGTCCGAATAACCTGAAATTTTGCACACACGTCACATTCAACCCTACGGGGCTACTCCAACTTCCGAAATTCCATTCTGACCCCGATATCAAAATCTCACTATCGAACCGTAACTTCAAAAATTCAACTTTCGGCATTTCAAGCCTAATTAAGCTACAGACCTCCAAAACACAATCCGAACACGCTCCTAAACCCAAAATCACCCAACGGAGCTAACGGAACCAATGGAATTCCATTCCGAGGCCGTCTTCACACTGTTCCGACTAAGGTCCAAATTCTAAAACTTTACTCTCATTTAGGGGACTAAGTGTCCCATAACTCTTCGAAACTCCAAATAAATCTTCCCTCCAACTCACAATAGCAGAAACAAACGCGGGGAATGCATTTAATAAGGGATCGGGGCGTTAATTGTTAAAACCACCAGCCGGGTCGTTACAGGGTAATTGCTTCCCTAATATATTCTTGTCTGCCTGTTTGTTTTGCTTAATTACATTTGACCGCGTCGCATGTATGATTCGCGTGCGGGGTAATAGATGCATCTATGGTTCGCGTCATTCGACCCTCCGACAGTGCACACTTTACTTTTATATTGGAATGGGCCGTACGACCTCGGCACTACTTGCGTATGCTTCTTGCTCGGTATATTGCTGTGAACTGAAATTGTTTATATGCCCTGAAATGTAAATGGCTAACTGTGATATTATCTTGGAAAGGACCTGTTACTTCTTTCTATAAGTTGTTAATTATTGTGCCTTCCATGCTTAGTATAACGTTTTCTCATATTATTTGACCCTAGTAAGTGTCAAGTCGACCTCTCGTCTCTACTTCTTCGAGATTAGACAAGATACTTACTGGGTACATATTGTTTATGTACTCATATTACACTCTGTACTTATTTGTACAGGATCTGAGGTAGGTACATCTAGTTACCAGGCTGGTGCATACTCTTGATCCGGCCCGAGATTCCACGGTGAGCTGCTCCCTTCCTACGCCATTCAGCAGCCCGATGGAGTCTTTATTTACTTTTGGCTGTCTATTCTATTTCAGACAGTAGGATAGATTTATTCTTTCGTATATTCTACTAGATGCCCACATACTTGTGACACCAGGTCTTGGCACACACATTAGTAGACTATTTTGTGTTGGGATTGTATAATTATTATGGTACGATGTTAATTATCATTGTTTTAAATTCAAACTTAGAAGTTCTGGTAACTGGTTTGTAAAAAGTAAAACTGGAACTTATTAATATTTCCGCGTTGGCTTGCCTGACAACGGTGTTGGGCGCCATCACGACCTGAAGTGAAATTGGGTCGTGACAGTAACAGCCACTAACAGAACACCTCTATATTTATTTTTTAGAAATGTTCCATCAACAGCAATAAGTGGTCTACAATACTTCCACCAGAAATTGACGCCTCATACATAAAAACCATGTAAACAAACCTGTTACATTGAAAAGTAAATAACATTTAGTTTTATGATATGACAAGCTGAATACTAAAGGATATGAGAAGATTATAATAATCATCCAGTATAACATACTGGAAGACAAACATTCAGAGGACAGACTTCCAGTATTATATACTGGACAAAGTTTATTACTAAACTCTATAAACAAAAAACATAATCAAAAAGCACAAATCCAGTAAACTATACTGGACAACAGGCTTACACACGCCAGACTTCCTGTAAAATATACAGGAATCAAACAAAACTCAACTATATTATAATAATCATCTAGTATAACATACTGGAAGACAAACATTTAGAGGACAGACTTCCAGTATAATATAGTGGACAAAATTTTACTTAATTCTATAAACAAAAAACATAATCAAAAAATACACAGTATAACTGGAAAACAAGCCTTGAGAAGACAGATTTCCCGTATAATATACTACATCAAATTTAAATATGAAGTCCGCACATTGTTCTGGATTTCAAGTTTAACAAGAAATGGAGAAATATATAATACAGTTAAAGGAAAAAAACTACTTGAAAGATTAACCCTAATAACATACTTGACAACAAGCTTAAAGACAACAGACTTCCATTAAAATATACTGAAATCAAACAAAACTCAAGTATTATATACTGGATCAAAGAGCACAATAAAAAAAGAAGACAAATAATCACTCCAAAAAAGTAAGGGACGAATAAAATAAAGTTCTAGGTTAAATAGAACTCATCCAGTATAACATACTGGAGAAAAAGCTTACACACGGCAGACTTCCCGTAAAATATACTGGAATCAAACAAAACTCAACTATATTATAATAATCGTCCAGTATAACATATTGGAAGACAAACATTCACATGACAGACTTCAGTATAATATACTGGACAAAATTTATTATTAAATTCAATAAACAAAAAACATAAGCAAAAACCACACTCAGAAGACAGAATTCCCGTATAAAATACTACACCATATTTAAATATGAAGGCCAGTATATTATTATCAAACATAAGAAATTTACCTATTTTCTGCATCTCTCTGAATATTAGTATATGATCCTGGATTTCTTGTTCGATCATATACAAATATGATGGCAGCTGCTCATAATTTTGTTCAGTTGTTCCTCTTAATAAAGATATACCTTTTTGAATAGCATGCCATGCTTTTCCATAACCAACATCTATTCCATGTGCTCTTTTCATTTCTGAAATGACAAACTTAGGCTTTACTTCAGTAGCTATGTCCCTTAAGTTGTCAATCATGTAATCTCTAATCACATTTGAAGTTGCTTGTCTTTGATGTGACTTTCTAATGTCAACCAAGCATTCATGTGTTCTCTGAAATTTAACTATTTTAAAAAGTGTTGATTCCTTAATTCTTGAACCTTGAACAGTCCAACCACACTTTTCATCAGTACATACCAAAGAGTATCTCGTGTTACTTGACCTGTCAACATAAAACTCAAAGTGCTCCTTTATAGCTGCTAAGCAAAAACATCTAATCATAGCATTTTTGTCTTGAAAAACAGACCCTAGTTTTACATCATCCAATGATGCATTTTTCTTTAGTATTATTGATGGGGATTCTTTTGCCTTTCTTTTTGCTTTCCTTTTTCTTCCTTCAATAGTGTCTAGTGATTCAATGTGTTGATCTTCTACAGGAATTACAATTTTATTTTCCATTGTAATGTCATAAATTGGCATCTCTTGCTCTTCTGGTATTTGAGATATCACCATCAGTTGCTCTTCCGGAACATATGTGGTTTTGTGCAATAATTGTTGATTGTCAATCTCCATTATTGCATTGCCTTCTGGTTGTTGATCTGGTGTTTCTAATATTTCAACAACAAATTTGGAGCCTTTATAGAATGGATCATTTTTCAAAAGTATCATACACGAGGTAAGATCTTCATCTTTTGTCACTTGTATTTCCTTGCAGTACCTAGATTGATATTAAGTCATACTTTTGCTTCAAACTTGTCACGATCCAAAATCCTCTAAGGGTCGTGATGGCGCCCGACGCTGCTGTCAGGCAAGCCAACCTAATTACTTAATCAAAATCTCATTTTAATACTTTTGAAATCTAGGATTTCCCTTCAAATTTAGCAATTTTTTAAAGAATGCAGTCTCAAATCAAATTTAAATGATAAGCAGTTAATACAATACTTCAAACCGTCCCAGAACCCGGTGTCACAAGTGCATGAGCATCTACTGTCAAGAAAATAAAATAAAACATCCGTCCGGAATACAGTGGACAGGAAGTAAATACAGTACACTGGAAGGGACTGCTCTAGCTGCGGCCGTCTCGAATGATGCAGCTCACCTAGTCCCAGAATCATCCGCGCTGCTACGCCCAGTGGGCTGCAAGAGATAGATATACCTGTGCAACAAAAATGCACAGAAGTGTAGTATGAGTACGTAAACAACGTGTACTCAATGAGTATCCCGCCTAATCTCGAAGAAGTAGAGACGAGATGGTCGACTTCAATACTTGCTAGAGGTCCAAGAATAATATACTAAAAGTGTGAGGAAATCGTGGATTTGTATAGCAGTTCTAACTCACAAAGCGAGAAGACAGGTAAACACCTTTAACAAATAATAAAGGATTTTCAAGGTTTACTTTTCATTATCTTATCAATTTATATCAAGCCATGAAAGGCAATATCAACATTTAAAATTCTCGGAGAAACAATATATATATATATATATATATATATATATATATATATATATATATATATATATATATATATCATGCGCAAATCATGCCGAGGTCGACGGCCCGCTCCATCAAAAATGTAAACTATGCACTGCCGAGGGTCGAACGGCACGAACCATAGATGCATCTATTTAATCTACCGAGGCGTTCGGCCCGTTCCATAAATAAACACATACCCTTCTCGCGAATCATGCATGCGACGCAGGTACACATAGGGATACATGCTCAATCAGTCAATTATGAACTTATCGGGGAATATTTACCCAAATAAAACCAATTCTCCTTTAACAAATTTTACGAAATAAAGTTTAATCCTTTTTAGAAATTCACTTACTAATTCAATGTGATTTAAGTAATTCAAGCTATCAATGGGTTCATAAACAATCCAAGTATAACATGCTTTTGGGTCCTAATTACCCGGGTAATAGCATAATAGTAGCTACGCACAGACTCTCGTCACCTCGTGCGTACGTAGCCCCCGCAAATAGGAGCACATAATCAGTTATTTCACCTATAGGGACAA